ATATACTTAATAATAGAGAGAGCTCCATCGATTAAACCGAACATATTTCAACAATCGCCCCTTGCGTTTCTCGACTGAAATATGTTTCAGTGAACATTGGAAATACATATATTTCATGTTTGAAAATCGGTTTTAATAAAAGGTACGATAATGTCTCTTGAGTTCGTTACAATTCGTTTCCCATTTTCTCGAAAGTTATTCCTATTCTATTATTGAATATTGATACGATACGAGCAATCGTGCTTGCTCTAGCATCCCCTTTCATCTCTTTGTAAATCATATGATGTAATTTGCTCCAGAATGGAATCGAAAAGAGTTCTTAGGCAAACCTGATATATACCTGGAACTCTGTATTCAAAGTATCATACAATCTCTATTATCATCGAACCCCGTAATAGGCAGATTCAGCTGCGTTATCATTGAGGCAAGGTGGTGAAATTCGAACGGCGCGAACGGCGACGGTGGTGGCGATGGGTATAGCGTCTTTTCCCCGCTCCTTAAGGAGAGTTTAACGAGACACCACTTTTCATAATTCGAGGAAGGGAACTCTATCGTTTTTCCGACACGAGGCGACGCGACGGCCGCGCGCGGGCCCGCTCCGCACCGCCTCGATCGATTTTCTTAACCGTCTTTTCTCCCGCGCCGTGCCTTGAAGCTGCTCTCGGCCGCAAAAGAAAGAAAATAAGGCTGCAATGACAGAAGGTTTCACGGTAGGGCAGACACTGCTGCCACGAGCACTTCCAACCTTCCTCTCCATGGCAAAGAGTAACCAGACCAGTGAGCGCGACGAGCGTGAACGTAACGACTAAAGGGGGATGCAAAAACCCCTGTGCCGGGCCGAGAGGGTGAGAGAAACGGCTCGGTGAAATGACGAAAAGAGTCGGCGAGAGAGAATGATAGAGACATTCGAATGGGCAAAGAAAAGTGTGGAGGATGGAGGACCGGAAAAGGAGGAAGATGAACGCGAACGGGTACACTATCGTTCATAAGTATTCGGACGTCATTCAGTTTCCAGACAAAATTTTTAATTGATTTACGGGAAATCTGAACGAATCCTTGGCTAATTATTGTAGAAATTATTTCCATCGTATTCAATAGGGAATGAACGAATCTTCTCTTTTCTCAATTTTGTAATCTCGGACTTGTAGCCAAGAGAATTTTAAAATACTTCTCCGTGACTAAAATATAAAGTGTATCAGATCTTTTAAATATTCCTTTTACCTGGTGGAATGAAAGAATTATAAATTATAATTTAAGATCTACCATATTTCACAACGCGAGAAGAGAGGATCGTTATTTCGTGTGTCTATTGGATGACATAAATTTAATTGACTTAGTGAATCTTAATCGGTTGTAGTCTATATTAACTCTCTGAATACTTGTGAACGATAGTGTAAATAGCCGAAGAGGCGACGGAAAAAGAAAAGGGAACGATGACGAGGGTTGAAGGGGTAAGAGTCGGTGGAAGGAAGGAAGGAAGAATGAAAAAAGGAAGGAAACGCAGAGGAACGGGTAGGGAAGGATAGGCTAGGCGGTCCTCGTCGTAGACGTAGAGGGAAAAAAGGAAGATTCATGAATAATGCAAGAGCGAAAGCCGGCTGAAACAATTGCTGGGCGTCGCCCTACTCCCTGAAATTACATCATCAGATTTTCCGCGAAATTAAAACATTATATATTCCACGCTCGGTTCTCTCTCACCGCGACCACTCGTCTTCTTCCCCTTTGGACATTATGCTTCTAGGCTCCCGCCCTACGGTGAGCGGACAAAAATCGCCGATTATACGCTCGCGCGATGAGACTGCGGTATTACCTACCCTCGGAACGTCTCAAATATTTCCTTGAAAAAGGGTCGCCGTTCTTCGGTCCAATTCTCCTCGACACGTAAATTAGAATGCTGCCTGTCTTAAGCGAAACGAACCTGTTTTACCGCGTTACTTCTGTCACAAAAGTTTTTCTCATCTGCTAGATATACATATAGTATTTAGTGTTTGATATAGAAGTAAAAAATGAACCATAAGTATTACAGAAGATGATTCAAGTTCATATTGAGGACGAGATGATATCTGTCTAATAATTTATTGAGTCTGTTTCTGGCTTGTCTTACGTGAGGATAAAAGCAACTGGAAGAACGAAATACCCACGAGACATGTTGCCGATACCGATCACAGCAGTTAGATAACCGATCGTTGTCGCCGTCCTTGAAACCCTTACATCGGATATTAATTTCCTCCGGGGATTACGACACGTTCTCTATCTTGGAAGTTCGCGACGGAGACAAACTTTCCCCTTTTCGAAGCGAGCGCGTTCAAAGGAATCGCGAACGAATCCGATTAACGATGAAAACGCGAAGGGAGATGGTTTAATAAAACATGAACGCTAATGCATACACAAACTCAGGAAACTATTTTCTTTCAAAAGGTTCCGAACAAAGGGCACTCTCCCGCCCCTCGTGACCGACATTAATAAAATGCTAATGCCAAGATGTAACATTAAGCCGATATCGAGTGACTATTAAAACACGCGACTGCTGCAGGTCGACGGGATCGAAGTTCTACGACTCTTTTGCAAAAATTATCACGATCCCATAAAATAAAACGGTTTACTCGGCGCATTCGATGTAAAACCGTCTTGCTAACATATTCTACATTTTAAACGATGTACAGTCGAAAATAAACAATCGGAATTAATTAACTACCCTTGATACTTTATTAGCGGAGCAATGATATAAAACGAAAGCATTCGATTACTAATTAAACGAAAGTTCAATTAAATCTCGCGTGACTCCTGAAGGAACGAGGGGTGACTTATTTAATAAAGTTAAATCCTTCTCGAACCTCTAAGAGATTTATCTTCTACTTTATTTGATAACTTAATACACTTCGTTTTAAAATAATTTATGTAATTGTAAGAATTATTAATTAAGTACGTCGGCTATAGGTTTTATTACAAAAGCGCTGAATAGGGGAGTTTTTATGAGAATGAACATCACTCGCGTGGCGTACGTACACGTTTACTGTCTATTGAGGGAGCCGTCTATTATTAGAGCAATGTACGTTTTTGGGCGCACATAATCGTCAACCTACAATGACGAAAATGAGTGCTTTGCCCGGGACTGCGAAAGGGTTGTTAACCCAATGCCGGGAGTACTATAATCTCGTTAATGCCACAGTCATATCGTATCTCTTGGCCGGGGGAATATGCAAGTACTGGCTGGGTATACCGAAATCTCCAAGTGCGAGCAATTCCACGGAGGACCGGAAACCGTACCCGTTCTGAACACGACATCGTGTTTACGGCGAAAGCTGGTGGCGCGCACACGTGGTAGGGCAGAGTGGCCCCGTGTTGGTAAAGAATGGTTTCATGTACACAAATATGGAATATCTTTTAGGCAGCAAAGCTCGCTCGACTATATGTAGGAGCAGGAGAATTGCGTTCGTAGTACCCGTGGAACTTCTCATTACTTGTGTAAACACACATTAGCGTTTCGCACTTCGCTAATACTGTACTCCGACGTTCGAGTCAGCAAATTTAAAGGCTCATTACACTTAAGAATTAGGTAACTCCGGAGATAGGGACGACAACGTACGTATTTTAAGAGCGCATAAAAGTTCCGTGGAACTTGTCACGATAACACGAAAGATCTGCTTTTAAACAGATACTATAAAAAAACGCGATAAAATTAGATCGATCAGTACATTAATAGTTGTTTCCTTGCTTCTCTAAAACTCTTATATTTAATTATTTAATCAGCTAGCAAATACTAGTGAATAATCACGGCATTCATAGATCTTGGTGGATAGTACTTTCATCATAAATCAATTCAATGATATAAGACTCGATGTTAAAACTTTATACTTACATTTTTTGGAACTTGTTTCTGGAGACATCAGTCAGCGAATCTGAAATGAATTTTTTTTATTAACGATTGTACTTTCTTTTATATAGAGCAATGGCTTTATTGATTTTCTTCAGTTAGCAAATACTAGAACTAATCATGGCATTCATAGATCTTGGTGGTCAAAAGTATCATCATGACTACGTCTCAATAACAAAGTAAAATATATTTATAATGTATGCTCACCATTTACAAAATATTGCGAAATGCTTACATCTGTGAGTAAACGAATCTGAAAACATTGTATATTATTAATTTTTGTATCCTAGTTTATACAGAATTGCTAATATATGTAGCATTACATCAGATAGCAAATACGAAGTAAAATCACGGCGCTCAGTAATATAAATCTTGGTGGACAGAATTTTCATCATATACAAAATCTACGAGCGACTGAAATAAAAGTAAAAAATAAAAATAACTCACCTGTCTAAAAATGAACCCCAATTTGCATTCATGCATTCTGAAAATGAAACAAAATTTATACTAATTGAATATATCCTTAAAAAAGTAATCGTTTTAACTCACCTTTTATGTTCACATTTTTATCTAATTATTTTTCAATGGATGTGTAAAAAATAAATATAGAAAATGTAATAGCGAAGAAGAAATGTTACTATTATGAAACTAATATATCTACTTGTGTAATAAAAACTAGCTTCTGTAGGAGAAGCAAAATAATTCTGTTTTTATATAATTAACAGATCTCCTTTGCAGTACATCACGTTCAGATTTACATTAAAATGTGTGTTTATTAGTATACATGAATTAATCTGCCTTTTTGGTTGCTCGGGGTTTCTTAGCTGGTAAAGGCTTTTGGGAACGTAATACAGCACTGGCACGGCGCAATGCAACCTGAAAATATTAGATAAATTAATTAGATTGAATAATTGAAACAGCTCTTGTTTAAATAACAGGTTTGATTTCTAATCAATTTACCTTTGTAAGATCTACACGATACTTATTCTTCGTAAGTAATCGTTTCAACTTATACAAAGATCTGCGAGCTCCAGCTTTCATGGTACATCTAACTGCAGCCTTCGCTGGTTTCCTTACAGCCCTAGCTTTCTTATAAACCACTGTGAATCCTTTCTTGTCTGGTGTATCAACAACACCAACACTCTTTTTGTGAATCAGACCAGAATAGCGGTAGCTACTCAGATTGGTCAAATTGTTAGATTCCTAAAAATTTTCATTATACATTAATGTAGAATTTTGCTAAAAGAATTAGTGATAGTAAATAACTTTCAGAAATGCTTAAATCTGGTACCGTGGAAAATGGTTTGTTAATGTTGCGTTTTTTCAAGAGGAACGCATTGTTATTGCGTATAATCATCCAATTTAAATGGGACGACATGTTGAACAGTCTGAAAAAATTTGTTTTATTATACTTACTCTTATTTTATGAGTGTTATAAGAAAACAAACAAGAAATTTATTGATACTGGTAACCTACGAAATCCTGAATGAAAACTAAGTATTGTATTTTCTATGTACTCAAACTACTCGACTCTAAAGTCGCTTTCTATAAATTCATTTCTTAAGCCACGTAATTACAACACAATCGATAAAAGAAAGGGACTAAATAATTGTTAAAAATGACAAAACTTTACTCACCACGTGCACAACCAACACGGGAAGAAATAAGGAAGGAACAGGGAGAATAAAATGGATGGATGACGATTCCAGTAAATCTTACCAACTTAATATGCCTAGATAAAAATCACCAAAATCAAGCTTTCAAAAAATAAAAAACATTCTTAGAAATTTATATATTTTATTATAATTCCACGGAACTGTATAATAATGAACAATTTTCTGTTCGTTATTTTATTCGAAAGGCAGTTCATTAAACATAAACGTTAATTCCTCACGATCGTATTTATGATTATCCTGCTCTTTATCCTCATTCGATTCATTCCGAAAATCTTGTGGAATATAAATCGAAGTATCATTTGCATATAATGGATCGTCATCAGGCAACTTTTGCAAATTCGCCCATCTTATTGCAACATCGACAAATACACACTTTCTAAATATTACACAGTGTATATGCCGAAGTTTCTCATATTTTATTCTCATAAATCCTAATTTGCTTAAAACATATCTCCATGATTTCATAATTTTTGCATTTGCGCCAACATGCTTTGAGTCGGGGCTTATAATAAAAAGTATACCACTATCTCTTAACAATTCATAAGCTTTCTTGCAACATAAGTATCTTTGCTTAGGGCAGGGTAAATATTCGAGAAATAAAGAAAATACAATTACATGAAAAGAGTTTTTAGACAATTGCAAGATCTCTTGTTTATCATCAGACAATATTTGCTCCTCCCCAATTTGAACGTTTAAGAAATCACAACATAAAACTCTGTCTGGCAAACCATTCAAATCTATTGCAGTTACATCAAACATATCTGTATCTCCAAAAGGATTATAACAGCTTCCTACATCTAGAAAACATATTTTATCTGTCTTTTCTGTATTTTTGTCGTAACATTTCGGTAGTTGATCCTTCTTGTATGCAGCGTTCGTGTTATAATCTTCAGGAACAGTTGTCACAAAGCTTGCATCTATTTTCGACTTAATATCATCTTCCCTTGTATCATACTTTTGTTTTTCACCATTTAGAAAGTACTCCTCGCAATGAGATTTAATCCATTCTATCCTGGAGTATGTTGAACTTTTGGTGTTCAAGTTATTCTCCACCCAATACGTAGTTGCCAATTTTTGCATGGAGGAGGCATATTTCTAAATAAAATTACTCATTAGTAAGGCTACTCTCAAACTAGAGATATTTCTAATTAGAAATACATTTAATTATAAAAAAAAGAATGGAACCTGTAGGATATCTTTTCGACTGATGTGCTGTTTCCACGCAATCTCAGGGCCGTAATTCTGAGCTTCTTCTCGTAACGTGGCATGTACGTTTTTTATAATATCTGCTAAATGTTTATGCTCTTCTGTCGCCATTCGAAACTTTGTACTTGCATTACTCGATTTGAACACAGCGTTCTTTCAATCCTATTGGGAACAAGTTGTCCATCAAATTACGTGAAAGCAGGGAACCTGGATACTACACGTGTCAATGATTTCTTATTAGGTCACGAATGAGGAGTTTTAATAAATGTGTACGATACGATAATGCCATCATGTGATATTCCTAGCTAGCTTATCGCATGCGCTAATAACACCTCAGCTAGTGACGGTAACACCGTATATATTGTTTAATTTTTCTATAGCTTCTCTTACCTAGAAACAAATGTTGGTATTTCTTTATTAAATTGGCTGCAGACGTAAAAGATCATAAATAAATTTAATTATATAGTGGTTTATTCCATTTATTGAAACTCTGCTTTTTTTTAAACTTCCTCCACGCGTTCTTCGCATTCGGGGCCTGATAGTACCCTTATAATTAAAAAATAAGTACGTCACTTAGATACACCCAGCAGACTCAGTAACTCTTTAGTGCATGCATTGATGCATATGAAAAAATCCCACGGTCTTCTATCACTGGATCACTGTGACTGACTTGAATAGAAGTTGATAGAAGTCGGTCTGTGGTTTAACCTAATGTCTACGTTTTGACGTTTTATTGAATCGCAGTCGTTAACCCCGACGATCAAAATAATGGCGGGTTCTGCGCTAAGACGATTAATGGCTGAGTACAAACGTGAGAATCAGATTTTCACTTGCTTTTTGTATTTCATTACAACCGTCGCATAAAATATTCCTCGCTTATTCTTCCTTTTCGTTCGATTTCAAACGATGATACGTAACAACCACGTAACTTGCAGAATTAACTTTAAACCCACCTGAAGGCATTATCGCAGGACCGATAAACGAGGAAAACTTTTTCGAATGGGAAGCCTTAATCACGTAAGATCTTAGACATTAAAAGATTATTATCTTCAAGTCAAGACTTGCTAGCATTTGAATATACGTTTCTTCAAAACTTTAATCATTTACGAATACAATTAGTGTTTAGAATACTTTTTCCAACTTGAATATTCATTACTTGTTTACAGTGGACCAGAGGGAACATGCTTCGAAGGTGGTGTATTTCCAGCAAAGCTGATATTCCCACCAGATTATCCACTGAGTCCACCAAAGATGAAATTCACTTGTGAGATGTTTCATCCAAATAGTAAGGCTCTTTCCTAATAAAACGTTCAATCATTCTGTCGACTTTAAGTCTGTAAATATTGATTACATTTGTTTCTTCAGTTTATACAGATGGGAGAGTATGTATAAGTATATTGCATGCACCTGGTGACGATCCTATGGGCTACGAAAGCAGTGCAGAGAGATGGAGTCCGGTTCAAAGTGTAGAAAAAATATTGTTAAGTGTGGTAAGTATGTTAGCGGAACCGAACGATGAAAGTGGTGCGAATGTTGATGCGGCGAAGATGTGGAGAGACGACCGATCGGAATTCGAGAGGATCGCACAAAAATTAGTTAGAAAGACACTTGGCATTCCACCATAAACGAAGAATGTTTAATATTTAATTGAAAGGTGAAACTGTAATTAAAATATCAGACTGTTCAGTCGAAAATATATATTGTGTACATTAACTCAATTTCATTCGTAAGTTTCACACCCGTGTGTAGTATAGGTGATCGTACAAAAAAAATGTTACCCGATATATTAGTCTCAAAAAATGTATTTTATTTTCAACATTGCAGTACAAACATGGGTAATCAAATACATACATATTTGTGTACAATTAGAGTATCCTTGATCGGAATAAAGTAACGAAAAGAAAGAATGCCTTCCTGTGCTCATACATGTGAAAAATTTGATTTGTGCAAATTATTTAAATTAGTAGATAATTCTCCATTAAATTATTTCATCGTTACGTTGGAAAGTGTTTACTGTAATTAAAAATTATTATTTTGTAATACATTGAGAAATAAAACTGGAATCACGCTTTTATATGAATTCATTGCAAGTATATTTGAGATACAATGAAATTCATAGATTTAAAAATTGTTGATGTAATAGGTATTGCAAATTGTTTGATGTTTACTTAAACTTACAGTGATTTCTTCATCGTGAGAATAAAGAAAGAAATAAATGAAGGTAAAGTTTTTACTCAGTTGTCATGTTTTTTGTAATGTCGTACAGTTACTTTAAAGTTTCAATGAACCATCCACACTCCTGTTGTGCATATTTGAAACCATACTTTGTATCACCTTAAATATTTACAAAATTAAAAGATTTGTAATATGTTCCTGATTATCATGCATCCCTCACTCTAATGATCATCGAACTTGGTGATAAATTATTTTAGACTAGAATTAATAAATAAAACAATATGAAAATCATAATTGGAGATGTAATTGTTAACAGCAAGAAGCTTACATACTTTTAGAACCTCCGCCTCGTTAAAATTATGTTTGGATATTATATCTTTGAAAAAGACAAAAAATAAATGCATGTATTTAGACGTAAATTGATATTTATTAATAAACAATACTGAACTCTAACTTAAAACGCAACGTTTATGACTAGCACTTGTCAATTATGTAAAAATTATGTGTCAATAAATTTATAATCGAAGTACAACATTGAACATGTTTCGAAATCATCACTAGTTTCCGGTATTTGTTTTCTAGTTTTCCTCATACGCATTTCGTTATTTTAATGTAATTTAGAGAAACTGATTATGCATCCTACATGCGTTTATAAATTGAGTTAAGCATGCTCTCACCAAATTTTTGAAACAATGATTCAGCGTTGTACTTTGAATATAGTTAGAAACTTTGGCATGTAAGAAATAAATTACCAATCTATGCCAAGTGCATTTTCGATCCCAAAAAATTTCTAATTAAAAATTTAAAAGCATCATAACTGAAAGAAACAGCTATGGTTTAAGAATTTTAGTATCACATTTCAGTGTCAAAAAAGGCATTATAAAAATACACAATTATTATCTAATAATGCGCTTTCTTAGAGATAAGAAGAAAAATCATTTTAGAAGCATCTACCAGAATAACACTTGGCATAGAATTTTCGTATTCTTTTTCTTGAGATTGATATTAACAATAGTAAAACATAATTAAATAAAGCATTGATACTTTTTTCGATAACGCTAATTTTTTCACAGGAATACATATGTGCAACTTATATTAATGTAAAATACATTTGTTATAAAATGGTACTAATTCTGCTCTATATACCTCCCTCTGTGGCTGAGGTATCATGGTGCCTTTAACCATTAATTATACGCACATGCTTCACAATATGTTTAGACTTATCCTTAGACATAGTCCTTTTTCAGACAATCTGGTAATAGTAATTGTATTGCAAAATCTACCACGTGAATATTGAGTATAAAATTTGTTTGTTTAGTACTGCAAAGTTCACAGAAAAGTGCAACCGAAATTTTCTTCTGAGCAATATGTATACGTGACCTTTGCTATTCCATGATTCGTAAAGCTGCACGGGTAAACCAATATCAAGGGCAAATAAGAGAGAAATTAAGATTTCGTTAATCAATCTGTCTAGTAACAGTCAGTACACATTTTGTATAAAAACCTTTCTCCTCCCTTGAAAAATCTATCTTAATATCAATGCTTCTCATAGTGAGCTCTGTATAACATTACAGAATACAAAATTTATCAAAGTAATGTCTCTGTTTCTGAAGATGAGATTACGCACCTCTTCAGGAAAGGGACAAAAATAAAAATATATGTTATTACAATTTACTAAATTTTATCTGAAGCTCCTTTCTACTTTTCCGTTTGGTTACTCGAAATTGTAAATTGAAAATTTTTCGCTTGTTTTATATTAACCCTTACATTAAGTTATGATCTATAATTTATGCAACGATTGCGAAATAAACTGTACTGCGAGAACGTAAGTTATCGGAACTACATCCGAATTTGGAAGAGAGATAAAACTAATTACTCGTAGGTAATTAAAATGAAAAAACAACGAATACATATAACATAACTAAATTCGATTAAGTGCATTGCACGATGTAATCTTGTTAAGTTTATCTGAGCACAAGAATAAACAATGACTTCGATTATCTTGATTCAACTGCATAATTTAAGGAATCAGAATTCTATAATTTATAAATTTTTATATAGCACCAGTCGCNAAGGTAAATAGCTTTAAATCTTATTTTAAAATGGTCTACAATGAATAGAAATAAAGTATAATACATTTAAAAAATTGCACATAGATTATTTTTCATTGACTTAAAAGATCACAAAATATATATTTCTAATATGTCAGGAATTTACAAACTTCCCGATTATTCAATTATTCTTTAAAATGAAGCAATGTACATAAAAGTATTTACATCGTAAAGTAATCTAAATCATTAAATTGCGTTCCATCCAAAGATTATTCTTCAAACTGATCATAACAATTAATTTATGCGGAAAATACGATTGATGCTTGAATGAAAATATTTATACTGCATTATGATTCCATTAGTTCGTTGAATATTTCCTCTAAGTTAATCAGTCTGTGGCAACTACATTCTAAACTTAAAAACACGATACAACAACATGTTGAACTGATTAATATTGTAATTTTCTACAGTTGACAGACACAATAACTGATTTTTATATATGCCAGATTATACCTTAATAATAACGTTAGCCTACAACCCTTTCCTCGTAAATTGCTTGTACGTGCATTGTATTTAGAAATGATGTATTGACTCTATTGATCATTCAATAAAATTGAACATCAAATGTAGGATGTAGATTAACTATATTCACATTCTCGTTTGTATTAAAACGAGTGTTCCAGAATTTTATAGAAATCGAATAATCTCTGGCAAAGATGTAATTACAAAACGTAAGCATCGTGGTTTTAGTACCGAAATAAAACGAGCAATGTAAGGTACATGGCACATAAGAAGGAGTTATTCCATCACTGCTTTGCATTATTATATATGAATATTATACATTCATCGCATCATGTGGAATATTAGTATTATTATTTGAAAATAATCAACAGGAACTTAAATGTATCTGTTGAAATCTATAAGTGCTCTTAAAATCATTTCACGAAGTAATAGATCAATTCATAATTTGTCTGTACACGTTTAATGAGAAATCAATATTAACTTCGATCAAAAATCATCTATGAACTCATATTATTTTTTGTCTTATAATTTTTTTTTAGTATTTTTATTCAATTAACTATATCGTTCATAATTCTATATACGAACTGCGTGGAACGGATTACCCTTCTTTTCAAAAAGATGTTAAATATTATGCTTAAGATTTTAATCAATGTATAATGTGTATGTAGAGACCAGTTATGTTCATATTTAATCGTAACGTCGTTTAACGAAATGATATTTGAACGAAAACTGCGTAGAACTTCTCTTAACTATTAAACTATGTGTACTAAACATTTGGCAAGTATTTCACAAAAACCATGAACAAAAAGATTATGTATTTGTACCTCACGATAGGCCTTGCGGTGTGAAACAAATCTTCTCTAATTCGCCAGTTGAAGAACTAACAGGAGATTCAGCTCTGTCGTCTTGTTCGGCTAATTGCTCACTGTAGTAATGCGGCGTGCTCAGGTAATCGATCAGCCGCCGGGGCAGAGGTAGAGTGGGAATAAGATCCCTGCGTACCATCTTCAAAATAACGAATCTGCACGTATGCTGCAAGCTTTGAACTTGTTTGAATCTTGATACCGGATGAAGAAGTTGCACACGCATCGGACCTAACACTGGCCGCCGATGTAGAAAAAACAAATAACGTCCACTACGCGAGTGTTCTACAGCATTCTCGATGAAATCGACGATCGTGTGAGATTTAAATTTCGTGCAACTTCCAAAGCTGAAATTACCTGCACACACGACGTTCGATACGTTAAAACGATTCGCAAGATATACAAGAATTGTATACTTAGAAACGCGCAGAACTTACCCTGATCATGTTCTATTCTCACATGTCGCACGCAACTGTTAAGTCTGAATGATAAGGAGAAAATATAATGATCGTCGCTGCTGTCTCGTACGATGAACGATCCATCTGGCTCGTTAGACAATATCTTTTCTGCAGCCTCGCCAGATATTGGGCCCCAATACCATCCATACTGTTTCAAATAAAACTTGTTAATCATCGACATCAACACGTTGACTTCAGTAAGAAAATGTAAGATACGCACATCTTTTACTTTCTCAATGCTAGCTGCGAAATCCATACTGGTATCCTCCGCTGGTTCGTCCTCGACTTTTGGTGGAGGCGGTGGCATTGGAGGTGGTACAGAGGTGGGACTCTCGCACTTGGATACCATCGTTGTGAGCGCGTCTTCCGCCTGTTCCACGCCACCCACGTGTCCATTACTTTTCGGCAAAGGCGGTAACGCGCGCTTAAAAAAAGGTAGCTTTTGCACAGAGGGATCTACCTCCGAGGTAGTATTATTATTATTAGCATGTTGGTCTGAATCGACGCCCTCCTCTTCTTCTACAATTTCACCCTGTACAATGCTATTTCTCTTCTCTACGAAATGGTCCGGGGAACCCAAACGCCTGAATCTAAAGATATTGCAAAGTGTCTGCTTCAAATTTAACGAGAAGTTCCGCTGACTCTTCTTCATCTTCTCCCTCTCGGAATCGACCTTCTCTTTGTGCGGCTCTTCTTTCACCTTTTTATGTTTAATACTAACGAACGAATTCTTTTTATGCTTCTTAACATTACCGTTATTATTATTGTTATTGTTATTATTATTATTATTGTTATTATGAATCAGTCCATTGCTATTTTTGTTTGAAATCGGAGTGTCCATTGCTGGATCTGTATGCGGGTTACTATACCTATTGTTATTATTTACACTAATGCCTTTCGGCATTGCAAGGTGTACGGGTGTATGACTTATCGGAGCTTTATTATCGCGTTTTATTTTATTTTCACTAGAATCACTGGAGCTCGAGTATAGTGTTTGCAAATATTGACGCACTTCGTGTAGAGTCATATGAATTGGTTCACCGATATTGTGCATATGGCCGTTAGACGTCCGCGACGTATGCCGGCCAGATGTACCCGGGACGCTGTGGCGCTTCCCGTTTCCGCTTTCGTTGCAGCACACGTCGGACAATAGTCTCTGCGACTTGATAACGTGGGTTATAGCCCGAGGTTTCCCACAATAATGCCTAGCCTGTTGAATATGGGCTTCTAGTTCACTCTGAGAACTGGCCGATACGTTTCTTCTCCTCTTACGATGATGCCTATGACGTTTAGGCCTTTGCGGCGTTCGAAGATCGTGCAAAGGTCTAACTACATCTATTGGTACAGTATAAATGTCTGAATCAAAGGGCACATTGTACATATCACTGATCTCACTGGTCGTTAAAACGTCGTGCGACATCGCAGAAGTGATGAAACTGCTGTCGTCTACTTTGTGACTCAGTCCTGAGGTATTTATCGAATTGTGAGAACTGGACAAACGTGAAGAGGCTAAAGAGCATCGTGAATTTGGACGATTCAATGTGTTGTACGGAGTCATCAGGGTAGTAGCCCCTTGGCATGACGAGGGTGTCAACAGATCCGTTGCCCAAAGACGTTTCTGATTGTACACGCTACGTGTTACCACCGGTACGTGGTGCGCCGTAGGCGCTATTCGCCCTTCCGGCCACGATATTCTACAAGATATTAGTAATGCTTCCTCGATCGCTGATTGTATTAAATTCTCAGCATAATCATCTATTAATTGCGGAACTTTCTGTCTCATTAATCGTGCATAGCTAAGAATCGGTGCAGACGAAGATTCAGAGTTAGGAGGAGAAGGGCTATCTTGAAACTCTGGCGGAGGTTTAATAGCTACGTCAACCACTTCAACTTCTAGTTTTCCATCGGCATCAGTCCATCCTGGTCCTTTCTTCAGTGTATTAAAATTTTCACCGCACATGCCATCCGAATAATCAAATGAATCTTGTGACAGAGATTTGCTCTCTATGTCACTTTCTTGCATCTAAAAGAAACGACAGTCATGATAAATTGAAATTATGATCTTTGGACGTTAATATCAAACTGTAAGAAATAGTACCTCAATTGCAAGATGCGCTCGGACTGAATCACTAGAAATGGACCCTCCAATTCCACTGCTACCAAGATCACTAAGAGGTCCAGTAGCGCTTAGGGAACATGATGGCGGAGAGTCCATCTCAATAACTTTACGTTATTTGTTTGCTAAGGAATTTATAGTAGCCAAAACTTCTGGAAGTTCCACATTGTCCCCTATAATTTTTCGAATTCAAAATAAAATTACAGTACAAGAACTGTTAACTCAGACAAGAGATTCTTACCTGAAAATAGCAATTGCAGGCAATATGCGAATGTCTTGCGATCTTCATGTTTACATACATGCTTGTACTTTTCATATGGTCCATTATGAATAAGAAACTGAAACAACATTTAAAGAAAATTAAAGTTGAAACGAGCAGAACTTACATTCAACAGTATCTTCCCTCTGTGTGTGATTCAGTTAGAATTATTCATATATTTTATGCACTGCAACCAAGGAATAAAGGGATTCGTAAAAAACCAATATGCATAAAAGTATTCACGTATTTTGTGTTGTACGAAATTTTAATAGGTATAGTCTTTTATTTATGATCGATTGATTACCGCATTTGCACGGGAGGATACGTTGATAAATCCACCGGAGAATCGTCGAAGAGTGACGATACTCTTATGAAAAGTATTTAGTAATGTCAAAAGATATATGACATGAAAAAACAATATGTCTTGATTTCTCACTGTGTAAAGGAATTTCGAGACACGTTAACTTAGCGCGGATAAGAGTTCGAGTGTTTCTTCGGTGCGACTCGTCTTTCGACCATCTGCCGCACGAAATGTTCGAAATAATATTACGAGCAAGGTGCATGCCGTACAACGAGCACTTTAATATCCCGGCAAGGTTGATGTTTGCGTTGCAGGTAGTAGTAGTAGGCTGCTACGAGTTTGACGTTTCGCAGGTTTAAAAGGCGCATTTACGTACTTATGCTAGGTTACACGGAGTTCGATCGCGTTCACGTACAATCCGTCAATGGGGCGAAGTGTCGGGGAGACGTTCATCGTTGTCACATAACGTCCGTTCGACGGACAAATCAATATTTAAAAGATAAACGCGATTCCTTCACGTTACAATTTACTCCATGTCAGTTCCATTCCCGCATTCCGTCTGTCATGCCGAGGAAGAAGTTCTATTCGAGTACTTTCCGGGATTGACGATGCATTTCACAAAAGGAGGAACTGCAGCCACCAATGTGGTTCCACATTTATGCATGCAACTATTAGTCATTCGTTTTCAAATGGCCAACATATACGAAGAAAATTTTATCGTCACAGACAGAACAGTAAAAATTGTATAATTATACAAATTATACACATTTATCAGAATTGCAAATGCATTTTTTTGTTATCGGCTTCTTCATAATTAAAAGAATATACAAGGCTATAACATTTTTTATAAGATTGACAATTGTTGAAATGTAACGCTTTAGTAAAGGTGACTTAATTATTTGACACCTGCGCTCCTTAAACGTTAACTAGATTGTTTTTATCGTTAATAATTGGTATATTCATCATTTTTAAAAAATTCACAGATGAGTGAAAATTCCCTAGGTGCAGATAATGACGTCGATACCGGAGGTGGCTCGGCTCAGGTAGCATGTCTGCAGACGCAGACTTGCAGACGTCTCTTTTGCGTCTCTTCAACCGATAGCTGTGAATTAAAAATTTTAATACATTATGCATGTACATTTCCTGCAATTCTGATTATGCAAAACGTTATCAGGAATACTACAAGTTTACAACAATTGACAATGTAGTCGGAAGATATATAATGTATAATTGTATACACATATCTGCACGTAGTACGTCAACATTTATTGTCAGTGAGTGCAATAACATATATTTGTAGCAAATACATACATAATTAAAAACATATTCAACGCAGTTTAAACAATTGGCGTTACTCTATACACATGAACATTTAGAATAACAATTAAGTATAATTTCGTAATTATAACACAATACTTTCTCGTAAACGCTATTACTGTATGCAGTAGTTCAATTATTTATGTAAAACATTTTGTAAAAATGCCAAAACTTATTTTCTGTCTCTTGTACACATTTCAATTATGTAATAAACATGTATAATTGTAGGTACAGTAAACAGATAACTAATTGGAAAAATGTTTCAACAATTAGCAAACTTTTTAAGTATTATAACAATTGGTATGTGTTTCGTATTGAAAATACCACAAATTTTAAATTTGCTATGTGCTAAATCAGCAGATCAAATATCAGTTGTAGGTCTTTTGCTAGAAGTTACAAGGTGAGTTTACTTAATATCATGTCTAATTCTCTTTTAAATAATTTGATAAACCATTTAATAACAATTTTTCTTTTCAGCTATACAGTAATGGCTAGCTACAATTTTACCAATAGTTACTCGCTACTTTCTTATCTAGAGTATCCTGTTATTCTAGTACAAGAATACATTTTAATCTTCCTGGTTCTGAAGTATTTGAATAAAATAAATACATCATCAATTCTGATCTCAGTGCTGTACATTATAATAAGTATCTCTCTTGCAACGCAGCTGATTCCAAAAGTCATCCTCACTATACTGGTGGTCAGTTGACAATAAGGGATTCATAAGAATAAAGAATTAATTGTGTGAAAATTAATTGCACACTAATTACTTAATTTTTTTTATAGTCGTTCTGTACACCTATCTCGTTTTCGAGTAAAATTCTCCAACTGCTGACAATTTTTCGAGCAAAAAACGCGGATACAGTATCACCGATTACCTGGTTCATTTCTGCATTTACTAATTTAAGTGAGTCGAAATACAAAATCGTCGAAGAAATTGAAGATCCATAATAAAAAAAAAATCATTTTTACAGCGCGAGTATTTACTATATGGATGGATTCAGCGGACGTGTTACTCTTAGGAAACTTCATCATTTCTGTAATTCTCAGCTCGAGTATTATGCTATCTGCAATTTACTATAGAAGGAACCAAGTGAAACAAGATTAAGGAATTCTCCGTTACTTACATATATTATTCTAGTCAAAACAACTTGCCCTTCCTCTCTTATTGCTCACAGATTTATGTCGTTATAAAAATTCTGCGTATAAAATAGTCAAATATTGTTCCAAAATAAAAGGACATTGTACATAGACGAATATTCACAATGAATAAAAAATTCTATCGACAAATGAGGTATGAATAAATGACATAACTTCATTCTTAGTGTCCTTCTCCAACGAACAGCGTCTGTTTATCCGTGCCGCATACATATCTCCGACCGAGATTATACAAATAATTCCTGGAAGAGGTATCGTTAATCGCTCGAACATTTTTCTAAAATTGCAACTCAAAGAATTTAAACGAATAGAACCGCGCTTCGGATTTCCCACGTTTACTTATTTCCTTCGTTGACGGATGAAAACTACGAAACCGTGTGCCATTCGCGTCGTTCGCGAATAGGCGGATCGAGAGAGGAATAGACAATGCTCCGATTTCGTCGAGCATGCATGATGTGCACGTGTGTGTAGGGGTACGGCATGAGACGATGGCATATGGTTTCGAAGTGTGTGGACCATCCTTCTAGACTCGCCACCCCCGCGCTGCCCCTCTACCACACGGGCTGCCGGTCCTCGATGACCTCCGGCCTGTCAGTCTACACCGAGAAGCCGCTCAGGCACCATCACCATCTCTCTCGCCGCATTCTCCCGAAGAGGGAACGAGAGCGAGAGGGAGACGAGGGAGAGAAAGAAACGAGAAAAGAGGGCCCGCGTCGAGTACCGAGGATAGAGAGGACACGCTGCAACGAAGGACGAATCGCTAAGAAGTGCCTCCGGTGGCGGGCCCGATCTGTCCACCGTCAGGATGTCGAGGTTGCTGCTGATCGTTTCGCTGGCCAGCTTGCTGCTGGACCACCAAACGAGAAGCGAGATCCTGACGCCGCCGTACTTCAACTTAGCCGAGGGCAAAGAGATCATCGCGTCGGCCACGTGTGGCGTCGACACCCCCGGCCCGGAACTTTACTGCAAGCTCGTCGGCGCGAACGCTGATCAGCACGAGGATATTAATCTGATACAGGGTCAGGTCTGTATCACCTTCGAGCTTGCTACGTTTCTTTTGTTTCTAATACTCAATCTATCGTTCGTTTGAAATTCTTAATGAAAAGTTATCACTTACTAACGTGAGATAAGGAATACAGCAGAATTAAATAAGGGGTGTTAAGTGTATTTCGTTCGTACTTGAGCGCTTTTTATCCAGTTATTCAAAATTTATCTGTGAACGCGCGGCGTTCCCAATCGTTTCGAGTAGCAGTAGCAGTCCCGAACCAATTTTTATCTCTGTTTGGTCCTTTGGTCCAAGAGTTTATCAATCTTTGAACAAACGTTTACTCAACTACTTTCCTTCTCTTTTTTTGGTATTATTATACAAAACGTGTACAAATGATAAATAATGAAAAAAGTTGAACTCGGCTTTAACAGACAATTTGCAATTCATAGTTTGTAGTTTTAATATTATCGTAACTTGTTTCCACTCGTCTGTCATTTTAATGTAGCTGGTACTTAATGTACGTGTACTATCGCTGTTGAAACTGCGATAAGAGAAGATGGTACTGATCGTTTATGCGGACAGGCGTGAATGAAATCAGACATAAAATCATGTCTTGCATAGTAATAATAATCAGTACATTTATAATTACTATAAATATTTAAATCTACTCTTGTAAATTCCTCAGACGTATCCCTGATATTAATCGTCATTCCCTTCCAGGAAATATCACTGTACTTCCGATAAGTAATTTAGCTTGCAGTTAATCAAAAGATCATCGGTATTTAATTATATCTAATGAAACATTGTACAATTGAGAATTTAAATTATAATTATAAATTAGAATTTATTTCAACTATCTTGTCTGTGTCGTCATTAATTATTTTTCGTTTCTCGGCAGCGTATCAAAGAACCGGGTTCTCTTAATCAAACAGGAAATAATAAATTAGATGACCGATTTCGTGGTCGCGTAACACTTGAAACGAATCTTCGTTTTATTAATCTGTCCGTTTGCCGCGCGCAGTTTCGGGAAGCGGTTTCTTGTAATACTCCGACGATTTCTCACGCCAGTCACGAGGTGGTTGATATTATTGGCTCGATTCATAAACCGAGGATCCCCCGAATACTGAATGGCCGTCCGATTGGTACAGCGTTACGTGTATCTGTTTATGCGGACGAAAGAAAACGCTATGTACGCTAGAAGTGAGAAAGCTGATAAGGAGTCCCTGATAAGGGTGACCTCTTGATAACACTTGACCATCTCGTCTTTTCGGATTCCGAACAGTCGGGCTGACACGGTTGTCCTACAAAGATTCTTGAAAAAGAATCGGTTTTCAGAGACCTTCGTGGAAGTCATTCATTCAATTGAGGAATTTACAAAACGAACGCTTTTCAATTTTAAGCAAGTCTCTTTTCATTCTCTGTTTCTCGTTCTTAATTTAAGAAATATTCAATCTTAGAGATACTGGGTCATCGAACTTATGCATATCTATAAATAGTGAACATTCGACGATGCAAGATAAAATTATTAGTTAAATAGAACTGTTCGATTGCGATAACTTTTATGTAACGATCAGGCATCGAACTCCCCCTAATTGAGTCTCTAATTCGTTTCATTCAATATCCGATCTAGGCCTAGCTATAATACAATGAGGAGTTGAAACGTGATATGCTATTATGTAGGTATGCGATTATTGCGATCCGGAGAACCCGGAAAAGAGGCATCCACCCGAGTATGCGGTCGATGGGATGGAAACCTGGTGGCAGTCGCCGCCTTTATCCAGGGGAATGAAATACAACGAGGTGAACCTGACGATCAATCTCGGGCAGGTAAGCCAAGAACAAAAAACGTCAGACTTTGAATAAAAATTATTTGATCGTTAATAAATATATGACAAATGAAAATGGGTAAACGGCGAGGAAGGAATAGAATTGACAGGAAACAATGAGCTTGTGAAATAAATACTTTATCTGTAACAATTTGGTTTATCAGACAGTAGGCGTTTTCCTGCAAAGCGGGAAAGAATTATCTTCGCATCACTTCCGGAGCGCAATAGAAAACACGGGTTTTAAGGAGCATAGATACATACTCTTTCAATTTTTAGTTAATCGTCAAAATGAGTAATTAATGTATCAATTGGAAGTTAATTAAAAAATCCAGTCTATCAATTCTATTAAATTTACATAGAATTGTTATTAGCGTACGTGTCGTGTTAAAAATGTTCGTGAAAAATAAGGATATGAATTTCGAACAGTAATTATCATTAATAAATACAAAACGATGCGTGAATGCATGTTCTCGATGCGGACCTGAGGTTATTGTCTTTTCGCTAAACAGCTTCCAAGAAGGACTCATTTACGCCGCGGTAGCATGCCGTTTCTCCCGTGCACTCGCGACCATATGTTCAGGAATTTCGGAGGAGGGTGTAAACTGAATATTCCAAAAGCCCGAGAGGCTGCCACATGTGTTTCTCTGTCTTTACTTTTTGCCGCATGTTCTCGCACGTATTTTCTGGCGAGAAAATAATTCTCATGCACCGAGTTTAAATTATACGAATGATACCTCGCAAAATAATAAAGACTCTACATCAATCCTTTATTTTACATAAAATAAAAATCCCATTAGTTTTAAATCGAATAGAAGAAACGAGACAATTTATTCCACAGGAATTTCACGTAGCGTACGTTTATGTAAAAATGGCAAACTCTCCAAGGCCAGGGCTTTGGGTACTCGAGAAGTCGAAAGACTACGGGAAAACTTGGTCACCCTGGCAATATTTCTCCGATACGGTAAACGATTGCTTGACTTACTTCGGCGTGGACAGTCACAAACCCATCACCAGGGACGACAGCGTAATCTGTACCACGGAATACTCTCAAATCGTGCCGCTGGAAGGTGGCGAAATACCCATTTCGATCTTGAACAATCGTCCATCCGCTAAGCACTACTTTAACTCCACCCTCTTACAAGAATGGACAAGAGCGACAAACGTTCGCTTCCGTTTCTTACGAACGAAAAACTTGTTGGGACACTTAATGTCTTTGGTACGAGAGGACCCTACGGTGACCAGAAGAGTGAGTGATCTCAAAATTCATCGTAATTAAATCACTAGACAAAAACAATTATTTGTTTATTATCTATTATATTTTAGTACTTTTACTCCATCAAAGATATCAGTATCGGTGGCAGGTGCATGTGCAACGGCCACGCAGATACGTGCGATATTCTGGACCCGAAGATGCCGAAGAAACTCTTTTGCAGATGCCAGCATAACACTTGCGGGCCTCAGTGCGCGACTTGTTGCAGAGGGTTCGAGCAGAAGAAGTGGCGGCAGTCCACGGCGTTCAAAAAGTTCACTTGCGAACGTAAGAACGTTCTGTATCTCTCGCACCATTCATTTTTAAATCAATTATTATAGTTAGATCGACTGTCTTCGTTCAGCTTGCAATTGTTTTGGCCATTCGGACGAGTGCGTGTACGACCCGGAGGTGGACGAGAAGCACTTGTCCCTGGACATCCACGGCAACTACGAGGGCGGCGGTGTGTGCCAGAATTGTCGCGATAACACGGAGGGGATCAACTGCAATCGTTGTAAACCGAAGTTCTACAGGCCGCATAATATGCCTCTCAACGCGACTGATGTTTGTCAACGTACGTCGTTCAATAAAGATCTTCAAAAGACATGCAGCGTGTGTAACACGTAATATCTCAATTTTTAACAGCTTGCCAATGCGACGTTCTTTATTCAACCGGAAATTGCGCCGACGCTACTGGCAAATGCGAGTGTCGAAAAGAATATACCGCGCCAGATTGTGACAGTTGCAGCTTCGGATATTACGGATACCCGAACTGCATTCCCTGCCAGTGTCATAGAAACGGAACTAGCGGGGATCACTGCGAAGCGATCGACGGATCTTGTCCTTGCAAATCGAATTACGCTGGCCATTACTGCAATCTGTGTGCTGAGGGCTACTACAATTTTCCTGAATGTTTACGTAAGCGACGCCTTGCAATATAGATTGTCGTTAAATTAATGTTTACGCTTAATCGTATAACTTGCAGCTTGCCAATGCAATGCTTTGGGTTCCCTTGGGAATATATGCGAAGTCGTTTCCGGAAATTGCACTTGCGAAAACAATTACGGTGGGAGAACATGCGACATTTGCGAAGATGGTTATTTCAACTATCCTTACTGTACATGTACGTATTCGAAGGATTAACAAATTAGAAGCGTATTTATTTATTTGAAAATAAAATGAATATTGTTGCAGTCTGTAATTGCGATACGCGGGGAACCGTGCCTGGAGTTTGCGACAAGACGGACGGATCTTGCCTCTGCAAGGAAGGATACGGCGGTCCCAGATGCGATCAATGTATCAGTGGATATTATGGATATCCGAACTGCAGGCCTTGCAATTGCAGTTACATAGGGTCGCCTTCGATTAGCTGTGACGTAATCGGAAAATGCTCTTGTCTGGCCAATTTCGCCGGAAAAACGTGCGATCAGTGCAGTCCCGGTTATTACATGTATCCGGAATGCATAGGTACAGTATTTTATTTCATTCTAAGGAATTACGATTCTTTCATATCGACCAATTTAATTTTTCTTTAACAAATAAGGCATTCTTAAATATAATGATCGTAATTATAATCTTCAGCCTGCAATTGCGACAGCCATGGATCGATCGGCGCTTCTTGCGATTTAGAGGGCAAATGCCAATGTAGAGAAAATTTCGACGGTGCCAGGTGCAACCAGTGTAAAGAAGGGTTTTACAACTTCCCTACCTGCGAGGGATGCAATTGTGATCCGGCAGGTATCGTGGAGACATTCCAGGGATGCGGTTCTTTACCAGCTGGTGAATTGTGTCAATGCAAGGATCGTGTCGAGGGTAGGATATGCAACGAGTGTAAGCCGCTCTACTGGAATTTGCAGCCGTATAATCCCCAGGGTTGTGAAGGTACAATAGAACCAATGATTTTCTGGGATACATTAGGTATAGCTCCTCTATTATTCAATTCTTTCCGGTTTAAGAGTGTCAGTGCAATATACCTGGTGTCATCGGGAACATCGGCGAATGCGACACAAAGACCGGTCAGTGTATTTGTAAACCGGGAGTAACCGAGAGAAACTGCAACCAGTGCATAGACGGGACGTACAATCTTCAAGAAAGCAACTTCTTCGGTTGCACAGGTAAAAATGTGAAATATATTTGACAGTAGAAATTTGAAAAATAAATGTTTCAGTCGTAAATCCTGTAAACGTTTTTTTTCTTTCAGATTGCGCTTGCGACATCGGTGGTTCCGTCAACCCTGTATGCGACAAGCTAACGGGTCAGTGTCAATGTCAGCCACGTATTACGGGTCTCACGTGCAACGAGCCATTGAAAGCTCACTATTTCCCGACGCTGCATCAATTCCAATACGAGGCGGAGGATGGGAGGACGCCCAGCAACAATCTCGTTCGTTACGGTTTTACCGAAGAACATTTCCCCGGGTACAGTTGGAAGGGTTACGCGGTGTTCTCCGCCCTCCAGGATGAAATTATTCTGAACGTGAACATACAGAAATCATCCCTCTATCGAATGGTCTTGAGATACGTGAACCCGAACAATGAACCGATCCTGGGCACGATCACTATCACGCCTGAGAACCCGTCCGAGGTGGAGCAAGTGTTTAAAGTAAATTTCAAGCCGACCGTGAAGCCATCGTTCGTTACTGTCGCAGGGCCTCAAGGTAATCTCCCCTCGCCTATGGTGATGAACCCGGGCCACTGGTCCATCAGCATTGGCACTAAGAAGAGTCTTTTCCTCGACTATTTCGTACTTCTTCCATCCGAGTATTACGAGGCAACCATTCTGACTCAAGACGTGAACATTCCTTGCGAGGTTGGTTATAAAGGACTTTGCAGGCATTACGGTTACCCGACTCTAACGAGGTTCGACTCCGTTCACGGAGCTGGCGGATTCATGAACGAGAACAACGCCAGAATTCGTCTGACTGAATATTTCACTGAGAAAGACATCTTGGAGGAAATCGATCGAGACGAAGTTCCATTGATTAACAATAAACAGGAAGAGATACATTTTGATCTAAGGATCTCGAAACCAGGTCCTCACGTTCTACTAGTTACTTATATAACGCCTAAGGATGAGGATACCACGTCGACTCTTTTAATCGAAGCCAATACCGTTGGCAAAGGCAAAGCCACGCTTTATCCATGCAAATACACCAGCGTTTGCAGACAAGTGGTGACCGATATGTATGGAAGAGTAGCTACGATGAACTTCCCTACGAATTACATCAGTTTGGTACTGACTGGTGAACCGACTTCGAACGTAGCTATCGATTCCGTCATCGCAATTCCTTACCACGAATGGTCTCTCGATTACGTGAAGCCGAAATCAATATGCGTGAGGAAAGACGGAAAATGCGTGAAGGGTCAGTTCCCGGGTGCAGCGGACGCTAAAAAGATCGAGTTCGAAACCAGCAGCACAGTCCCCGAGGCAGAGAACAGACCATACGGTATCTTCGATAACAATACCAAATTAATCTACTTAGATGATAAGAACACGATGGTGGATATTCACGCGAAGGTTGTTCAACCCGGAGACTATACTTTCGTTGTTCAATACTATCAACCAGACTATCCGGAATACGAACTGGATGTACTGGTCCAAAATGGTAAATTCTACGAAGCGAAGATATCCGTTCCCCATTGTCCTAGCAATAGTGGATGCCGCAGCGTGGTAAAACAGGCCGACGGCGACATTAGATTCCAGCTGATCGAGAACTTCATGATCACGTTCAAAGAAAACGCGGACAAGGGTATCTGGTTAGACTATATGCTAGTAATACCAACGGATCAGTACAACGAGAAAATCCTGAAGAAGATCCAGTTCGACCAAACGAAGGAGTTCATCAAGAAGTGTGGCTACAATCATTTCCACATAAACGCAACCGAGGAAGGTTTCTGCCGCGACTCGATATTCTCTCTGACGGCTAATTACAACAATCGCGCCTTGCCTTGCAACTGCGAGCTCGACGGAACCATAAGCTTCGAATGCGAGAAATTCGGCGGCCAATGCCCATGCAAGCCTAATATCATCGGAAGGCGATGCGAGATCTGTAAAACGGGATTCTACGGGTTCCCCAATTGCAGACCTTGCAATTGTCCCAGTACGGCACTTTGCGAACCGGACACAGGCGCCTGTATTTGTCCTTCCAGAGTTACCGGTGAACGCTGCGACCAGTGCGAAGTTGGAACTTACGGATTCCATCCGATCATCGGCTGCGAAGAGTGCAATTGTTCTCCTCTAGGCGTGATCGACGGGGATCTTCAATGCGACCTGCAGAATGGTAGCTGTAGGTGTAAAGAAAACGTCGTGGGAAGACAGTGTGACAAATGTGAAGCCGGTTACTCGCAATTCCCTCATTGCGAGAGGTGCGACTGCGATACCAGAGGAACCACTGCGAATATCTGCGATCAGTACACAGCCGAGTGCTTCTGTAAGGAGAACGTACAGGGTCTTGCTTGCGACCTGTGTAAGGAGGGAACGTTCAATATTCAAGAGAGCAACGAGGAAGGTTGTACCAAGTGTTTCTGTTTCGGGAAGACCACCAGGTGCACGTCCGCGAGTTTATACCGAACGTACGTGTCCGACTTGACTAACTGGGAGTTGGCTTTTTCCAACGAGAAGGGTGGAAATATGACGTATCTGGCAACGATCCCGCAAGAATTTAACACCACGACTATCGCGATCGATCTCACAGAGAACGAAACCTTCGAGAATATCGTTTATTTCTCAGCACCAGAAACGTATCTTGGAAAGAAATTGACTTCCTATGGAGGACTCTTGAGTTATACCGTTTATTATACCACCGGACCATTCGGTAGCGCCGTTAGTGCACCTGATGTGATTCTGCAGGGCGCGGATACGATACTTTTCTATTACGCTGACGAACAACCACCGTCATTCACCAACTTCCAAACCTCTGTGGAATTAATCGAAACGAACTTCTTGACCCAAAATCGTCTTAGCGCCACCAGAGAACAGTTGATGGTGGTTCTCGAGAATCTCAGAGGAATATTCATTCGAGCTATGTATTGGAATCCTAGCATAACTGCATCGTTGTCGTACGTGACTTTGGACGTGACCACGGAAGCCTATTCACCTCAATATAGTCTCGCTAGCAGTGTCGAACAGTGTCAATGTCCGCCGAACTATCAGGGACTCTCTTGCGAGGAATGCGCGCCAGGGTATTACAGAGTGGAGTCGGGACCTCATGGAGGCTACTGCGTACGCTGTGAGTGCAATGGTCATTCTGATATTTGCGATGTCGACACTGGAATATGCCTGGTAAGTATCTCTTTACTGTACGAAAATAGTGTTATTTTCTTTACTAACTTTTAATTACAGGATTGCAGAAATGGCACGAGGGGAGACCACTGCGAGTTTTGCGAAGACGGATACTACGGTAACGCTACCGGAGGAACTCCCACGGATTGCTTGATCTGCGCTTGCCCCTTGCCTATCACGACCAACAACTTCGCCCTCGGATGCGAAGTTAACGAAGAAGGTAACAAGATCAGCTGCGACTGTATTCCCGGTTACTACGGCGCCCGTTGCGAGGTCTGCGCTTCCGGTTTTTACGGGAACCCCGAGATCTACGGCGAGTTCTGCAGGCCCTGCGAGTGTTCCGGCAATATCGACACGAACCAAGTCGGCTCCTGCGATTCCAGGACTGGAGAGTGTTTGCAGTGTCTGAACAACACCTACGGGGAAGCTTGCAATCTATGCAAGCCAGGTTTCTTCGGCGACGCCGTCCAGAAGAAGGACTGTCGGAGCTGTTTGTGCGAGGAGTGCGGATTGGAGCACTGCGACAGCTACACGGGCCAATGTTTCTGCCGCGAGAACGTGGTCGGTGATCGATGCGATCGTTGCGCGGACGATCACTACGGGTATGAAACCTGCGACGGTTGTAAACCGTGCGATTGCGGAATCGCGTCCGAGAGCAGACAATGCGACGACGCTACCGGTCAGTGCAAATGCAAGCCGGGCGTCACTGGACGCAAATGCGACCAGTGTATCCCCGGTTATTGGAATTACGGACCGGATGGTTGCACATCTTGCGAGTGCAACACCGGGTACTCGGTCGGGGTTTCTTGTAATACAACTACCGGCCAGTGCAGCTGCTTGCCGGGCGTCATAGGAGAAAAATGCGACCACTGCCCGTATAGGAACGTGTTCATCAGTGCTCAGGGCTGCTTCCCCTGTGATTCTTGTACAGGAAATCTATTAGACGTCACAGACGAGTTGTCGAACTTGTTGGAACCCGTTTTTAAGGATTTCGACACCGTGGCTGAAAGCTACTTCACCAATCAAAGACTGAAATTCATCAACGACACAGTGAACGATTTGTATCCTGAGGTGAAATTATTGGATCCCAGCAGAGTGAACTTTTTACCGCTGCAGCAGGAAGTGGTTAGACTGGAGATCGAAATGTCGAATCAGAAACGTGGAATCGATTACACCGCTGAGGACAGCATTAAATGGAAACATGCTGCGGAGAACACCTTGAAAGACATGAATCTCTTAGACGCGGACGTGCTTAACGAGATAGACTTGGTCAGATCGATAGTCTCGGAAGTAGAGTCTTTAGTGTCAAACATTGAGTTCGGTACCGGCGCGAGATTGGATAATGCGTTAGAAGAGGCCGCGAATATACTCCAGAAGATCCAAGAAGTGTCGTTCGTCGCCTTCCGGGACGACGCAACCGATCAAGCGGATCAAGCCAATATTCTCGTATCAGAGATGCACGAGTACAACGTGCCGATCAACAATGTATCCTCTATAGCAGACAATCTCAGCAGCAAGATTAAAAACGTGACCACTAAGATCGACGACCTTCTGGATATCACGTGGAAGGCGCAGGAATTAGCTAGCTTGGTCGACAGATTGAATCAGGAAAACAGAATCGCGGCGGACACAGGAAACTTCGACATGTTGAAAAACGCCACTGCGGAAGCCAAAGAGGATTTAATGGCCGGGGAACAGTTAAACAAAAACGCCAGTCAATATCTGGACGAGGCGAATCGCAATGTGGAATTATTGCGTGGAAATGAAATAAATGATCAAACGGAAACATTGAGCAAAACGATTCTAGAGAACGATGACATGCTACTGGAGATCGTGCAGACGGAGCAGAGCGCGCGTGACCATGCTGATTATCTTCACAACCGATCCTTAGATTTAGATAGCCTTTTAACCGACACTAGGAACACAGACGCTGTGAAAGCAGTCTCCGCTTATAGAAATATCGGTACTGCCATCGAAGCTGCGAGCAAAGCTGCAAGCGAAGCCGTTGATGCCGCGAATAATGCCACGCTCCTCTCGGACGGCATCGAGCAAAGAATGATAAACTCGCACAACTCGTCTATGCATCTGCTAGAATCGGCGAGAAACACTCTGGCAAAAACGAAGGGAAAACCGGAAGAAGATTTGAGCGATGCTCGCGTCGAGGCTTCGTTCATTTCCGAGCAGAACAAACAAAGCAAAGATATTTTGGATTACATTGACAAAATACTTGCCAACATTCAGTCGCCTTCTTCGACGATGACTCAGGAAGCTATGAATCAGATCGTAGACGTGGAGAAGAACATTAGAGGTTCGATTAACAACATGAACGGTATCGTTGATAATATCCCGGAGGAACTGAAGGAGGCGAAGCAATTGTCGAAGGACATCTCAGAGACTACTCGCGATATATCGCAAGCGAAGAAGCAGCTCGATATTATCGACAAGTACCTTCCGAGCATCGCTGATTTATTGGACGGGTTGAATGTAAATCAGAAGTCGATTGAAACCAATGGGAACGATCTGCATGAGAAAATCGAAGTGTTGAAAACTAAAATCGCAAATGCCAGAGAATTGGCTGATCGTTTCAAAGTCGGATTAACTTTCTACAGGAACACCACCCTCGAGCTAAAGAATCCCGAGAATCTTCCTTTATTAGCTACCGCGACGAAGATATCTTTGTACTTCAGAACGAATAGCACCAACGGTTTTCTCCTCTATCTCGGAAACGAGGATAATGCCAAACTGTCGCGATCGAAGACGCACGATTTCATGGCTTTGATGATCGAGGGTGGTTACCCAGTGTTGATTCTCGACTTTGGGTCAGGACCCGAGAAGATTATCAGTAATAAATTTGTGTCTGATGATGTCTGGCGACAGATAATCGTGGACAGGACAGGGAAGAACGTGAAACTGCTCGTCCGCGAGGATATTGGTGAAGGCAATTACCGGTTGTACGAAAAGGGACACGTGCTACCCGGTTCGTACTCGATATTCAACGTGGACCCGGAACACTCGAAGTTATTCGTCGGTGGTTATCCGCCATCGTTTAATATGCAGAGCGCCGTGACGGCGTCGTCCTTCGAAGGTGAGATGGAGGAGCTCGTGATAGGAGAAGACACACCGGTCTCGTTCTGGAACTTCATTGATGGGGAAAATAATCAAAAACCAGCCGAAGAGAGAGACAAACTGATCAACTTGCAACCCAGCACTGGTTACAGGTTCGACAAACATGGATACGCTATTTTGAGTAAAAAGGATTTCCAAATCTCCCCGGACAGTAAGAAGTTCGGCATTAAGTTGAACTTGAAGACTTTCGCGGAGGATGGATTGATCTACTTGATGGGCAAGGGCAAACAGTTCCTGTCTTTGGAGATGAAGAACGGTCACGTTCTTTATCAGTACGACCTTGGAGGCGGAGAAGTTAATTTAAGATCCGTGCGGAAATATAACGACGGAAATTGGCACGATGTGGAAGCCCTCAGATTCGAAAAAGACGGTGTTCTCAAAGTAGACGGAGTGGACGTGGTGAAGAGCAAAGCTCAAGGAAATACCAAGCTCTTGGTATCCTCGGACAACATTTACTTCGGAGGATATCCACCGAACGCTAAACACCCTTACGTATCTGTGACCAACAACGGCTTCGAGGGTTGCATCGACAACGTAGCTATTTTGGATACTATAATTGATCTAACTCGTAATATCCAAGCGTTCGGTGTTATTCCTGGCTGTCCAGTGCGGGTAAAGTATAAATCTCCCGTACAATAATCTATTTGTTATCTGACAAGTATTAAAACTATATTTATTTCTTATTTAGTTTGCCAGTTTGGTATCTTTCGAGGAGAATGCGCCTGGCTACGTGAGGTGGCAAAACATCTCCGTAGAGGACGTTCTCCAAGTAAACTTGAAGTTCAGAACTCTGGCGAACGACGGCCTGATCTTTTACGTGACCGATCACGAGAAAGGCGTGGTCAGCTATCTGTCGCTGATCGACGGCGTTCTCGTGTTCAACAGCCAGGGCGAGGAATTGCGAACGAGCTCCGCGGGTATTAAATTCAACGACAACGAGTGGCACGTAATCACGGCTACGCACTCGCGCGAATCCCTGAAACTCGACATCGACGACACCAAGAATTATAATTCTGATCGAGAACCGCCAGTATTAAACATACCATATGGTAGCCTGTATATCGGTGGTTTACCTGCCGCTTTCGGCATCCCTCAAACTGGCGCTATGACGCCGTTCGTAGGCTGTGTCGGAGACGCGACTTTGAACGGAGTCATCATTAATTTCGCGAATACGACCGAGCGGCCTCACGCTCTTCTCGGAAAGTGCAAGCTCGGAGACTCGTCGTGTAAGTAATTAATTTTCATATTTTTCTTCTTAAATTCGAATTCTTTTATATTCAATCCAAAAGCTAATAACTTTATAGCTATACCGTCTGTACCTGAGCCAGAACCGGACATCCCACCGCCTCTGTTGCCAACGGAAAGTCCGGACGATAACATCGAAGTGTCTACGCAGAACAGTAAGTTTATTATAAATGACAATAAAAAGATAATTAAATACAATAGAGTAACCTAATCCTTGATTCTGTAGATGTGATCGATTTGGATGGAGAGAAAGATGTCGACGAAGAGGAGCCTACTATCGAGGGTCGCGGTAACTACCATGAAGAGATTACGACCACTGAAGCGACGACTTCTACTCAAAGAACGACACCCTTGTACATTGATCAATGCCGATTGCCATATTACCCGGCTGACGACCCTGATCAAGATAATACTTGGAGATTCGGTAAAACTTAATTTTTTTTTATATCCAAAACATAAATACTTAAAAAAGGGTTTCGATGAATGACTGACGTATTTTCAGGCACCAAAAGTAACAGTAGATTAGAGTACAAGACAGTGAACGGTAGATACAGGAACAATTACGACTTCCAGATTGATATTAAGACTACGGCCGAAAAGGGTATTATATTTTACACGACGGACCTTGCCAATCAAAGCCTAATCGCTGTATACGTCAACGACGGAAAGGTAAAACATGTTTGTTTCGAATGAAATCTAATTATTCTAATATTTCATTTCTCTGCGTCTTCCTGTAGCTTCATTATAAATTCGATTGCGGAAGTGGACCTGCGCTATTGGTGAGTAGAACGGAGATAAATGACGACGACTGGCATATCGCGATATTCAAAAGGAAAGGAAACTACGGAGAGCTAATTGTCGACGAAGATGATGCAGTAACCGGATTTTCTCAAGGGCTGATGGAGACTATGAACGTTAGTCCACCGTTCTACGTCGGAGGAGTACCACAAGACATGTCCAGCAAAGTACTCAGTATGATTGTAAGTACATATGTAATTTCAATAGTTGTATTCCTTTTTACCCTGGTAAGACATTTTCTTATGGAAAGGTAATTGTTCATTTCAGGAAACGAATCAGACTTTCAATGGATGTTTAGGAAACTTTATGGTGAATGGACAACCGGTTGGTGAACCATCGATCAATGTAGGCGTGATACAATGCTCGAAACAGGTCGAGCCAGGATTATTCTTCTATCCTGGTAATGGTAGCAATTGGTTCAGAGCAGGTGCGTATCGCAAAACAATCCAACTGCGAATTGTTAAAAATAGGATAAAACAGATATTAATCGTACGAAATAATTTCAGTGGACAGATTTACGGTCGGGAAAACGATCGATATTCAAATGGACATCAAACCACGCACGACTTCTGGTCATTTGCTATCCGTACATGGAAAGCGAGATTTCTTGGTCTTGGAAATGATCAACGGAACTGTGAAGTTCCTCGTAAAAACATTGAAGGGCTCGATAGAGACTTCGTTCGAACCGACAGACCCGAACTCTTTGTGCGATGGCAACTGGCACAATATTCGAGGTAATGTATTACATTTTTCATATCGGTTCCTTTCGACATCCTACAGTTCTAAACAATACCTGGCTGATGTAAATCTAAACAGGATTGACTGAAAATGTACTAACTTGTTATTCGTCGCACAGCTGTCAAGCAGAAGAATGCGGTACTGTTATCGGTGGACCACAAAGCAGCCGCACCGGGTATCGGTGGTAAAAGCGTGTCTGGTGTCCTCTCGAAGCATCCGATCTACATCGGTGGCCATCCGATGCTTGGGAAGAGGTTACGCGGAAGCACATCGCAGGCACAATATGTAGGGTGCATCACAAACATTCACATTAACATGAGGCCCATCAATCTGGGCCCCGAACGCGCTTACGGACGCGTCGTCACTGGCGTGTGTCCGACAATATAAGAAATCTCCGACAACGTAATATCAAAACGTCTTCCAATTAATTTCTGGTTAATAAAGAAACGATGACTCTCGGATACAGGATTACGCGATTCCTGTTAATATTTCTTTCATAAAATTGTATATCTTAGTTATATTTTAAGTGATCTAAAAAATAGCTTGTTGGTTGAGAATAAAATTGGAATCGTCACGTATTAAATACCGTATCTCAGGGCCTAGCCGTTGATGTGTCAAGACTTCGAGAGAAGCTGCTGAATGATCTAAATTTACGGCGTACTTTAACACAATGCAAATTCTGAGAAAGTACCGTGAAAGGAAGCGCAAGTCTCGACATCATCGTTCAAACACACGTCACGAAAGACTGAACGTCGCGTCGCTTTTCCGTTATTGTCCGCGATGGAAGATAGAATTATACTACTTATACATTCATCAAACACTTGATTAAACTACTTCACTATAATTCTTGTTAGGTGAATTACAATCTTTTAGCATAAATACGAAAATGTTAATTACAAGTGTTCTATAGGTATTGTAATACGCAACCAAAGAGTATGTTATACTATAATACCAGTTATAACTTACGTAGTAACGATGAAAAAGAATTTGTGACCTTTTGTAAATGTAAAAACATCTAGAAAAATTAAGACGCTAAATATAAATAAAGTAATATAATTAAAAATATCCGTACGATTGGCTTCATTGTTTGCTCTCGAATTTAGTTATTTATTTGATCGCGTATTACAAGGATTCAATACTCTGCTCGGTTTGTCTTGCATGTTTACTTTTATTGCATATTTTTGCACGCTCACACATATAAAGAATAAACTATGCATTAAATGGCTTACAATACATAAAATCAAATTTATTGTAGTTATAACAACTATCAACCTGTATATAAAACTTGTTTACAATTTCTCAATAGCTTGTGTAGCTTCAAGAAAAATTTTCAACATTTAATACATTGAGTGCTAACGATGTAACAGGGGATGCTTCGATTTATTAGATGGTGCTATAAAAATATTTACTGCTTCCTTTATCCGAACTCAATAAATACACTCATTATGAAACAGCTTGAAATGAAATCAAACTTTAGGTTTAGCTGTCGGTTGCTTAGTACTCAACATATTAAAATAGTAAGCTGTTTGAGCTACTGTAAAAATGATTCGTGTAAGTAGATGTAAAAAAATAAAAGGAAGCATGATCCATGATTATGATAAGTAAATTGTCCAAATTAAACTATACGAGATATTTTCTTATGCACCAGTGAAATGAAATAAAGAAGCTTCATCACGCGGATACCTTACATTTGAAAATAGATAGTCCAGTTTTAAGAAGCTAACTTATTTTGTATTTGTGCACAGACAAAAATCAGAAAATGCTATTAGATATTCACTTGAAAAAATCTGAACGTCCAAATGCTCTTTGTATAAGGTGAGCCGGAAATCGTAATACAACCGGGCAGGTGATGATTCTATATTAAAAAAGAAGAAAATATTTTGGTATATCTTTTCACCCGGAGCTCCGTTTTTGTGAAAATCGGCTCTAAAGTTTGTTCAACTTATAAACAATTTAGTACAATTTGCTTGTCGTTGCATTTCACTACTCTAGTTGTCTCTGTACGAGATAGTATTTACAACCATTGATAAAAGTATAACTCTTACTGTAAACTGAACTGTGCAGATGCTTTTTCATCGTTGTCAAGATTTGTAAACACTGAGCAGTAGAATGCACAAGCAAATTGTACTAAATCATTTACAAATTGAACAAACTTTGGAGCCAATATTTACGAACATGGAGCTCCGGATGAAAAAATGTTATACCAAAATATTTTCTTCTTTTTTAATATAGAATCATCAGCTGTCCGGTTGTACTACGATTTCCGGTCCACCCTGTATACTATAATCATTGGTTATATACATGTTATATCAAACATACGTTTTACAGAATTTTCGACAGAACCAATGCAAGAGCAATTTGCTATTATCGTAAATTGATAGCACGAACTCATTGTAAACGATACACTTATGGCCATGATACTTATTCGCTCTGAGTATTCATTAATAAATCGTTGTATAGTGTACTAATTTAATTGTACGTATTCCGAGATGATTTATCAAAATCATATAAATAACGCTGAAGATGGAATAAATTGTCTCACGCTCTGATACTTATCATTTAGAACACATTTATATCTTAATAATAGCGATTACCTTATACATAATTTTTATACTTTTTTATCTCTTACTTCTCTAGGGTATTATAATAAAACACTATCGAGACTTCTACGTTATGTAAAAAAATTTCCTGAAATAGTTGACAAATAGTTCGTTAAACGTTAGACGGGGCAAATGAATTTATGGAAATGTACAATGGGAGATCAAACTGGAAACAACCGGCGAAATGGTTTACTATTTATCATGCAATTTCAGGAACTTTCTCAATCAGATAGTATATCACAGTGTAATGATCCAAACGTTCGATTAGATTTTTGTGGCAATTCAGTATGTACAATTGTTTATCACAAAAGGCATGTCGTTTGTTCCTCTCGATATTTTCTTTTTCGAAAGATATATCCTGCGTTATTAATTGCAAGATAAATTATATGAGAATATCCTAGTATTTGTACGTGAATACAAAGGTGAAAGATATTCCATATAATTCGAGAATTAGATCACGGTGAACAACAGAATAAGATGAACATAAAAATATCTTGGCATGCATAGAAAATTGGCATAGAAAATTATTGCACAAGCAATTTTATTCTATACCATGCGCGAATATCATCACTAATCCAGGTTCGACCATCATGTCTTCGGGCATGTGAGTGTTATCGCAATAGAGAACTAAGACCGCCTGTTTGCCAGGAACTCTTTTACAAATGTAATTGTCATAAAGTCTTCTAGAATTTTGTCTAGTTTCGAGAGAGTTTAAGCCTGGAGGCCACTTCCTTTCATGACAATTCTCCATTAGTTCATCGATTACATGAGGTGGACAATTGTATTCTGATAAAGTTCTTTTTATCATTGTCTAAAATATTACGTTCAATTATTCACTAAGCCAAATACATAATCGAACAATTAAAATATAGATTATGTTACCTGTAACAAATCATCAGGCGTGGAGATCATTCCTCCCCATCTGGTTACTCTTGCTCTAGGGAGGGTAGCAGACCATCTCACGACCTCTTCTCTTTCCATCTGGTCGGCAATAACGCGCATTGCAGGGTTTGAAACTTTCAATGCTCTCATAAAATCTTTCAACAGCTGTATCTCCCTCTTATGTTGATTTATTTGAAGCTGTTGTTCACCTAGTTCACGGTTCATGTCAGCGATCTTTTGTTGCTGAGAGTGTATGATGTTCCTCAATTCTTTTACACAGTTGTGATCCTTCAGTTCATTCTTAGGGATAATAAGACTACAGCCTTGCTCGCAAAGCATCGGTCTCTTAGGATTATATTCGCATTGTTCCAAATGTGACACTAAACTGTCAAGTTTGACTATTACTTGACATCCATACCTAAGATTATCACAACTAATGCAAAGCCGAGCCAGTAAGTTTCTCAGAATTCTTGGTACTGCTCTCAACTGAGCAGATGTGATGGGAGTACGGTCCAATGGGCAGGTGGGTTGTCTGTTTATCCATTCGTTGATGCATGTTCGACAAAAGGCATGTTCACACACAGGTGCCTGTAACACATTCCTCACCTACCAGTCTTTAAGCCAAACTTAACATTTTACAAAACTTATTATATGTAAAGTTGTATATACAATGAAGACATGCGTTAGTGACCTATATAATTCACAATAAAACATCTTGACACAGTAGAAATAGTAAAAATTCACATTACTGAATTACTACGAAATTCTAAATATTTCCTGTAGACTGAATCAAGCTATGTAAAGAGAATACGAAGAAACTAATTTCTTGTTACTTGAATAAACGACGAAAAGAATAATAATAAATAAAGGGTAAAAGAAATGCGAGAGCACTTAATTTAAGGTTACGTTAGCCTCGCGTAAATGAATACAGTCTGATCTATTGGGAGTATACGATCGCTAATGAACGAAACGGGAATAATACCTGGACAGGATCTTCCAGGACGCCGGAACATATTGGGCAGACGAGTTCTTCGTCCACTTCCCCTTGAAATCGGTTCACATCGAACCCCATAATGTGAACTCACTCGTGCACAACACTTGTACGTATAGCGACGAATGGACGACTCTCTCCTTTGCTCTCTGTCCTGTCCTCCTTCGCTCCTGTAAAACTGTGGATCCAGAATCACAAATTCGATGGCGTTCGACGTGAAATCTTAACAAGGAAACACATATACCGTTACTCCCTGCGAGTACCAGGCGGCTTGACAATAGTCACTTCGCATAAAACATATCAGTGTACATCGCGGCTGTTAGGCGAAATTCGATGATAGTAATCAGGACATATACATGCAATTATAGTACGAAATGCAGAATTACTTTTCAGCCGAGCTTCCCACGCACAAATGTGCATAGACTGATCAAACCATATCTTAATTTTAAAAGATATACATCACTTCGATCTTCAGAATCTAATTCTGTTCTCTATCCTTCAATATCACAAGAAATCCTTTCCAAACTTGAGCACCAGAAAACATCTTAAAGTTCAAGTGTATGTATATATATAATTATGTTTTATTGTTTAGAAATTAACGATTCATTTTCTAATACGGTGACCATCCGTTCTCTATTTCATTAGCCTTGTCCCCGACATTCTTTGAAGAAATACGGGACGTAAAAATTAAATAGATAGCACCATATTTTACTGTTTGCGTGTTGCTATAATTCCCGCCTTCTTTTTTGTCCCCGAGTTCGCTTCCAAAAATATGGTCACCATTTTTTATAATGATAATAATGTATTAAATCTCTTTTTATCT